AAAGGAATTTAAAATTTAATGTAATAGATTGGAAATGACGTTCTACATGCAGTTTCCAATGTTTTTGGATGTTGTAGGTATCTAAAACTCGAAATTTTTAGTGTACATTAGTATAAAACCGATTTTCTAAAGAATAGTGGCTAAGTTGAGAAGAAAACGGATGCAAAATCAGTATTTCATAAATAGAAATCATCATAAACATAAGGAGCGTGGACAAGTAATTTCTTACATTGAGTTTTTTTAAGGGTTTAAAACTATAGACGATCTTATACAATCTTCCAAGTAAGAAAAAAGAAAAAGTTGAAATTCGAGACGTCTACAAAACAAAGMTGCATCTTACATCCTTCGAAAACAAACAATAAACGTTAAAAAGCTTTGATGGGGACTAATTTTTATCGGTGACCCCTCATTATTTTAATTTTTTACACTAACACAAGTGTATTTATGCCTGATTTCATGGAAGTTACTTAATCGTAAGGAATTATTAAAAGAAACCAATAAGACGCAGAACAAAAGCAAGAAATSAAACAATAAACGAAAAATACTTGCAAATTATACCAAAAAGACTTTCAACGACGACAATAATTTTACTGTCAATGTTAAATTAACAAATTCACTCGAACATGACATTTACGTGGTGTAGTTGAAGTACATATGTAAATTAATGTTCAAGGCTACCATCCTTAGAGACCCTTTAATTGTTTCAGTTTACATCGTGATAGAATTTTTTATTTCACTTTTAAGTTGGTAATGAAAAAATGAAATTGATGACGCACCGGTCTACCCTCCTGAATTTTACTATATTAAACCGTTATACATTTTTATATTTTCTAAATAATAAAGTTTAAATTAGGCCAATTTATAAAACGCAAAACGATATGGTTAGCGCTATCTAGAGCAGGAAAAACATATCGCATATATTTTATTTTTTCTCTCTTTTATTCCCAATTGTTCCGATTTGTTCTCTTTTGTTTCGGATTGTTCCCGTTTGTTTTCATTTGTTCTCGTTTTACATGCAATCTTACTTCCAACTGAAGTTAGTGCCATATTTAGGGAATTTCTGGAAATACTTTTATATTTGAAAAAATCGGTTTTTGTTAGTTTTTTATTTACAGTAGAATTGAGATATTAGCCTCCATCATTCTAAAAGAAATAAGYAGGTTACTGATATTTCGATGTGTTGGCGGCACTGCAACTTTGAATGAAATTTGTATCTCTGCTAAGTAATAAATAGTTTAATAAAAAATAGATAAAAACCTTACTCCATTATAATGTTTTCGTTTATTAAATTACTTAACAAATTCACATCAAATTTACAATTGTTTAGTTACTAGTTAGTGACTAACTGCTACGTCTCATTACCGACGTCTTTTTCTTATTATTACTGACCGGATGAAACGTACCCAGGGAAACAAACGAAGTGAGAGTGAGTACTTAATTGTCACTTTCAAATTTTTTAAAAGTTAGAAAATAGCGTCGTCTGCGTTGATTGACAGTAATAAAGTCTGGGAAATGCCAAAAAATGGCCGTTGGGGGAGCGACGAGTCGGCGCTCCAATGGAATCTGTATATTTTGGTTTGAAACCTTGATATTTTTGTATACGAAAATTTACTTTTGTGTTTTATGGGTTGTATAATAATTTTTTTGTTGATTGCAATTTTTTCTAAGAACTAGACCAAAAACATCAAAAATTAGAATATTTTATACGCAAATATAATTTTATTTATTAAAAAAAAAAAGATTTATATTTGGGTTAGATAGTTATTTTTATTCTTTACAAATTTCTTAATTTTGATTAGCATGTAAAATTTGATCATATTGTGTGATACATCGTTGTAATCAGGAACAAAAAGACTTTTCAAAAATAGTATATGGTGTCCAAAGTTGAGTGTTGTTACTCTAACATCAAAAACGCCTCGGAAAATACGATGACAGATTTAGATTCCTTGTAAAAAAGGTGCCTTAAGAATGTTCTTTTTTTCCAATAATTCAAAAACTAAAAATAACACATTAATTTTTTTTTTCAGATAATTGTTCAGCATAAAAATGAGCAACTTTAAAAAAGTGCCTTAAAACGTTCTTTTTTTCCAATAATTCAAAAACTAAAAATGACACATCAATTTTTTTTTCAGATAAGTGTTCAGCATAAAAATGCGCAACTTTGCCCTAATTTAATCGACGTCGGATCTCTTATAATAACTGAGATCCGCAGTGGCGGCAACATAGGCAGTGCCTATGCCATGCAAAATTCAAAAAATGCAACAAAGAATACAAAATTGTAAAATTAAAAAAGAAACTGAACTTCATGTGCCTGATAAAAAGCTTAAAACTTTTCCAATATACTATTTCTTTTCACACGTGCAAACCAGGCTTGCCGAGGATGGGTATGCAAAATCAACACTACCTCCTCTTGTGTCCCACCTCCAAAATTACCTCATCAGCCGTTCATCAAGCCTATACTGTTTAGATCTGAGATTGCGGACACATTTTTTAAAAAAGATTTATCTTACATACAAGATTCTGCTCTATCTACTACAAATATTATTTTATATAAATATGTTCATATACATAATAATTTTAGAAAAAGTTGTGCATTAGATGAGGGGGGAGGGGTCAACACATCTTTGCGTGCCTACCCAGTTTTAATGATCACGAGCCGCCACTGGAGATCCCCATGGTGGAGCTCAAAAAACGGATACCCTGTATGTCCGGGAGTGAACGGGCAAGTCGGTTTTCAGTACTTATTATTCTTTTTCAAAAGCAACCAGCAATACACCCTAGGCAGGGTCCAAACTCAGTCTTTACCTGCGTTCAGGGGTTGGGTTAGTAAGGGTAATAAATTATAATAAAAGTAAAAGATCAGTTCGCTAATATTTTTATGCTTTGAGTTTGTGGAAGTTGCTCCAGAAATTTRTTAGAAAGCTAAATATTGTTTTGACTTTTGGATCTTAAAAAAAAATCTAATCATAATTATTCCTATCTACTTGATAGGTTGTACATATTTACTAATTAGAAAGCTCACAGGTTCCATTTTCAARGGAAATTAAATTTTTGTATGGAGTAACAAGACATAATTCCATAAATTAAAATTTTTACAATCGGAAAAATTACAAACTTATGCAATTCTGGACTCAAAATTTTAGACATCAAGATATGTCAGTTCAAAAATTATCAACGTAAGCCACGCTTTAGTGTCATTAGGATTGACGTTTGGATCTAAAACTTGAAAGATTTAGTTGAAATTTATTTTTGGCGTCGATTTCCTAATACATACAATAAAGCCAGCAGTTGCAGTACGTTTTTTATATAATTATTATTTTTTTATTTTGAATTCTTGTCATTTTTATTCAGCTGCCAGCATAAAAACTACAAAAATAAAAAAAAAAGTTTCACATAAAGTCAGTTTTACATTTTAAGGCAACCGAATGACAAATCGTCCAAAATTCCGTGTCCGTACATCTAAATATCAAATTTACAATGCGCACTATAAAATTCATATTCTTTGGAGGGGCATCTATGATTTTTTTTAGTTTAAAAGTGTCCTTGTTTTCCATTACAATTTTTTGACATTGACCACATTTATGGGTACCACTAACTAACATTTACAGTTATGTCTTATTAAAAAAAGATTGTGATAGGCCGAATCATTTTTTATGAAGTACAACGATAAATTAAAAAATAAAAACGATCTCTTCAATATTTTTTTTTCATAGTTGCCCCGTTAAAAAATTATTTGTTTGAGACTTGGGACTTGTGGCGAGCATTTGTTTAAAAGTAATATTTTTTTGTATACGCTCTRGAAACAAGCTGAGTCTTTGCTGGACCCAATAAAATAGTATGAAAATGGTTATATTAGGTACTCAATATCCAAAATATAGTTATTCAGAACGGATAAGTCAATTTAGTTACTATCGTGGCGAAATTTGTTTAATTAATAATAGGTGCAAATTTGTTGTACAATAAATTATTTTGTCTGATTATTGTTGCTYTTTATTAAAARTCTCATAGATAATAAATAATCTTAGATCCCCACAACACACATTTTTTTCGAAAAAAAATGGTRAGGTCTACTAAACTCGGGACATTCGATYGAAGTACAATTCCAACAAAATTCACTTGTTTTTTCATTTCACGTCAAATGTTTCTGCTTCTAGTTTTCTAATAATAATAACTGAAAATTATTATGCTAATTACATGATAAAGATGACCGTAATCCGTTATTTGCTTGGGTTGGTACAAGGGCAGGTATAGACCCTCGATCCTGACAGCGCCTCTAGTGGTAAAAGCAATGAACTAGAATGCATTTTTGGGCAAAATATATTTATTAATAATTTAAAAACAACAGTGTTTTATTACATGGTGTTTGTTGAATTTGTTAAGAACTAATATTTTGTAATAAATACCAAAACCCTAAAACGAATCTTTAGGTCTACCGTTAAATATCGTGATATTTACATCAATCACAATATCTCAAAAACTAAAGACTTTTTTAAAAAAAGGTCAACGTATCGGCCTATAGAATATTCTTTTAAATTATCTTACAAAAACCGAAATTGATTACTTGAAAAATGACTGAGTAAAGTTGCTTTCAAGTTCACCATTTATGCATTTTTGTTCTTTTTTTAAAAGCATTGAATTAAAAAAAAAATCTCAACGTATCGGCCTGTAGATTTAAAAAACCTTTATTTTGATGTATAATACATGAAATTCTGTTGCATATTAAGAGAGTAATTTTGTTTTCAATATACTAACGTCTCGAATCGTTGGTCGCGGACACCCTTAAAAGATGCAACCCTTTCAGGGGATGTAGCTTCTTTCATAATATTTTTCGATACATGTTTATGGGAAACTTTTATCTTAAAATTGAATATTCTATCACCTATTTACATTTGTAACAATAAAAATGAAACAGCCTGTAGATAAATTTTTGTTGGTTCCTGCAACCTTGTTTATAAAATCTGAATAAATGATTAACTAAAAATTGTAAGGAAACAACTATCAAAGAAATAAAATACGATTTATTTATCAAACTTTAATTTTTACCGAAATAATTACAAGTCTTAAATTAATCTAATTAGAACTGCTTTCGTGAGAAAATCGTCGGAACCCACGGTCTCGGTTTGGCTTCTTGTTCCTTTTTCTTCGCCCCTTGTGCTTCTAAAAGTTCCATCAACTTTTTCTGCTTCTCTCGAAATGCTTCAATCGGATCGTCATATTTACTATAATAAAGTAAAACCTCCCTAACATCATCAATATTATTATCCACTATAGTCTTGAGGAAAATCGATAAATCAACCAAAGACAGGTCTTCATCAGCTCCTTCCCACCGCTTGACTTTCAAGAGATTCTCTGGATGGAACTGTACACTATTCGGATTCCAGTCCACCACAATAACTTTACTCAAATCCCGGTTCAATTTGTCAAGACTTTTAACGTGATGCCCTCCTGTGAAATGCGTCGCGTCTCTGACTAGTTTGTAAGCGATGATGTTTTTGGGGTCCATGGCTTCAATGAGGGGAAAAACCGTCATTCCTTGCTCTGCTGTGTAGACAACGATTTCGTAATGCCCATGAAGAGACTCTAGGAAGTAATCCAAGCCTGGCCTCTTTTTGAACCGCCACCCAGTGTTGTAAGTCCAATCTGGGTGCACGAGAACATCTGTCAACTCCAATACTAGAGTATATTTAGGTTGTAAATAAGGGTACTGAAGGGGATCTGGAAGTAACTTGTCTCGAGAGGGCTCTTTGATTAATCTTCTGTAATTATCCAATTCTCTATACGTCCGCATTAAGTATTGACGCCACAGAGGTAAGTGCGATAAGTCGTCTTCGATCACCTTGCCGTCCCTGTCCTTCTCAGGAGCCCCGAGTACAAAGATCAAGTAGGACCCCAAACACGTGAAAGACACTCCAAAGAAGATTAACGTTAGTTTCATCGTTCGCCATGATGCCTCTCGTTGTTTTTTCGCTTCTTCTTCTTCCGATGTTGCTTTTTCGTTCGTTTCTTTATTTATGAGACTACCGAGTGGTGACTTAACCGGTTGTTTTTTTACATCCTCGACATAATTTCGACGCTGAATTATGACTAGTGGTGAGTTGAAGAGGACTCGGGGGACGTTCCGTGTAAGAATTAGGGACGATTTGTGCCGAAATAAATTACTATAAACGTTCAAAGTTCTAAAAGTGGATCTATACATTTTGAGGTTAGGATACAACTGTCAAACACGTTGTTTCAAATCCTAAAAAAAAATACACTCGATATTTAATTTACTAGTAATTGCATGTAATTATGAAAACCAACATCTTGAGACATTGTACTGTTCGTATGGAACGACTAATCATTTTTAACCAAAGTTTATATAATAAAAATTTGAAATTAAATTTTCTTGTGTTGGTAGCTTTGACATTGACAAACTTTCAAAAAACCCGCGAAATGGATCAAAATCACAATTCACAATAAAACAACAAAGAAGGTTTAATTATTTTTATTTAAAAGAATATTTTTACTTATTGGTTCAATAATGCTCCCCATTTGAGTTGTAACTGCCGGTTTGATCAACCTCCTATAGGCTGTTTCCGGCACAAAGGTGTTACTAATGGGCGCCCTCATACTCGCCTCAAAATCCTTCACAGTTTTAAAAGGAAATGGAACTTCAGACACCATATGTTCTTTGATTTTGTTTTGCGCTTTTTCGTTGATAATCAAGGCTCCTTTATTATCGTCTCTTCTAGGTACTTTAGGCGGTGCTTTGATCGTGAATCTTCGTTTTTTACGCTTGCTAATTTTTATGTTGGTACCACCCCAACTCCCCCAGCCGGGTAAACTCAGATCGACATCTTTGGGCTTATCTCGATCGATCTCGTCCTGTTTTTCTTTGGCGAATTCTTGGACAATGTCGTCGTCTTCGAATGCTTCTGAGATTATTTCGCGTTGAGTGGGTTCTTCGTTATCTTCTGTTAAGATGTCTGGAATTGCTGTTGAAAGATTTGTTGGTTTGATCTTCAAGTATTTGTCAGGGTCTATGTTTGACTCGTTTTGATTCAATTCTTTAAATGCGATGTTTCTCAAGTCTGACAAATTTTCATTGTTTTGAACATTTTCGGAATTGGAATTAGGATTTTCAATTAATTCTTCGTCAATGATTGGAATTTTCTTTTGTGGATTCAGAGTTAAATCGATTTTATTATCAACTATTTCCCTTTTAGATTCCTTATTTGCCTTGTCTTTTTTATTTAATTTATTCTTTAGTTTCTTGACACTCCTCAACATTTTTCTGTGAAGCTTATTTTCAAATTTATTAAACATATTTTCTACGTCTGCAGTATTTTCCACAACACTAATTTCCCACTCTGACGTTGACATGGTTTTATTTAAATTTTCACTTGAATTTTTCTTCGGACTAGCCTTTGATTCTTTCTTCTTTTTGGACACTTTTGTTTCATTAACGGTTGGAGTTTCTTCAGAAATGTCTTGTTGTTCAATTTTTCCTTCTTCTTCATTTTTCTCCCTCGTTTCTTTTTTCTTTTTGGGCACTGTTTCTTTATTAAAAGTTGTAGTTTCTTCAGACATGTCTTGTTGCAATTGTTCAGTTTGTCCTTCTTCTTTATTCTTTTCCATCCAGTATTTTCGATAACCACTGATAAAATCAGCAACTTCTTTTTCAGGCTTGATACCGTTGACCCATGGATTATTTTCATCAACCACATCGGGAACCTTTTCTTCTGCTTCGTCATCTTCAGAGTCGCTGTTAGTTTTCAGTTTTTGAGTGAGTTCGCGACTTAATGTTAGTTGTTGTGCTAAAACTTGCCTACTCTGAAAAAAACATAAAAGTAAAGTTTTGTTTTTTGGTAAAAATCATTGAAAAAAAAGATCGTCACCTCTTTATCATACTTGGCCCTGATTTGCTGATTCTTTGCCCACTTTCCTGTACTCTTATGTCTCAAACTGAATCTCTCCTCAATCCTCGACTTCTCAATCTCCTCTAATTTTTTTAACGCCTCCTCTGGATTGGTCTTCTGCAGTTGTTCAAATTCCTTCAACTGTTTTTTAATCCTTTCACGTTTCTGTATCCTGTGATATTTCTTGCTCTTGATTTTATTCTGCCGTCGAGCTTTGGCTTCTTTGTACCCTTGGTACGCCCTCAATTTTGCTGCTTCTTGACGCCGAACCAGCATTTCCTTCATCGTCAGTGGAAACTTTTCTTGCTCTAAATCAATATGAAACTCCTCAGTTTTCGGTTCAATCTTCTCCAGTTCCTGTTGAAGGCTAGATTTCACACGCCACATGGTGGGAAACTTCTCTGATTCCTTTTTCTCCAATTTAAAATCATTGTTTAAGGGAAAGGATAAGTTAGTCGAGACACGGTTTGCTGTGACGGTGGCTTCCCACCGGTCCAATTTCAGTCGTGTCTTTTCATAGGCGACGCTCCTTCGAATTCGATTGGCTTGGGGCTTTTCCAGAGGCTTAGGGAGTGTGTGAGATTGTCTTTGGATTTTTCGGACATTCTCGCTAATTTTTAACCGACTTTTCCTGTCTTTCAACGATTTAGCCAAATCATTTAAGTGAACTGCACCTTTGTTGCCGGTTATAGACTTTACTAAGTTGAATTCGGAGATTTGGAGGGTTGGTTCGGTCCGAGAAGGTTTCTTTAGTTGTTGCGTCTTGTTCAAACTTAGAACCTTTTGCACCAATTTATCATGTTTGGAGGCATCTTCTTCGGTGTACAAATCTTCGTAATTATCACTCGCATCACTTTCCATTTTTTAAAACCATTCAAATAAATTCATACACGTGTGTTTAGAGGTTAGGTAATTCGTATTGACGTTTAGTTGACATTTGGGGGAAAACCACAGCGGACCAGCTTAGTGGTGTTACATTTAATTATTTATATAACAAAATAACCAGTAAACACAAACAAATTTAAATTTGTTGTCTATATTTTGCACGAGTTTGTTATTTAATTAAAACTTATTGAGGTATTTTGTAATAGATTTGGTATTTATATTTAATTAGCAATATTTGGCTGTTTTACTGTAATTTTAGGTTTTAAGTAAATGACAATTGACAACACTATATTCAGAGTGAGGTTGAGGTTAAGAGTGTAAGTTTTTAAAAAATTCTGCACAAATAAAGAAGTGGGTATATTGTTTATTTTTGTTCTGAAATTTTTAATCGTTAAGTAGTTTTCCAGTAATGAGTACCACAAATCCGGCCCCTGCAAATCTGACCCTTGCAAATCCTATCAACACGGAATCCACTGGTTGGAAGATTTTCTCTGCTTTTATTGACGACACTCCATTAAGTTTGCCCGAAGAAGTTTTGTGGAGTTACCTTTCTGACGAATTGAAGCTAGATACTCAAGCGATACCGTCTGAATGTAGAGAACATTTGCCTTTAATTTTGGTGGCATATATGAATATTTGGTCTGGGTGGCATTTTAAAAGCGATTTTTTGGAAGGGAAAATTCCGAAGGATCATTATTTTCAACGTTTTCAGAAGTATATGAGGTACAAATTAAATATTGCTATTCGTGGACAGTTTGCGGTTGCTCTAAAGGCTGTACAAGAACAACAGAAAATGGTTGCACCTATTCAGATTGAGAATAAAGTGGATTCTGAATTTTCGCCATTTACTATTCATATTCAATGTCCAGCAAATATGTTGAACACAATTGTTTTTTCAAATGTGGGAGGTAAGTAAGGTGTTGTTATAAAAATAACATTAATTTTTTTGTAATAGATGATATAGTAATGAAACAGCACCTCGGCGGTGATTGGGAAGAATTAACAATAACTCAATTGTTAAATTGGCCTCATGTTGAAGTCACGTTTCGCAATAAAGACGTCTGTTTCGTGCGACGTCAACGTTTTGAATACCTGCGTTACTTAAATTTCTTACCACACGAATCAAAGAAACACGAGGAGTCCGTCATTGAAAACGTAGAAATATTATCCAATTACGGCAACCAGAGGCAATGTTTCAGTTACAAATTTCTCCAGGCATATTTCAACACATATCTCGAGTTTTTGGAAAAGTTGGTAAGTTTGTATTGTAAGGGAAAGGACAGTTGTTAATATTGTATTTTTAAGGTTGCTCCAATAAAATTCAACGAGATCCAAACAATCCTCACGCAGTTTCTTGAGGACGTGAAATACATCGATGTGAATCAAAGRATGGTGACCAACACWACAGTGTTGTTCAGATTGTCGCCAATGCGATTTATTCGAAATAAAAAATTAGTGAAAAACTCGGATAATAAATTGGACTCGGCGAGGGTGGGATACTGTGAAATCATCTCTCCGCAAACCGAGTTGCTTTTGCTTTATTGCAAGGCGGAACAGACTGATACTCCATATCTCAGTTTTGAGTATATAGAAGAACTTAAAAAATCTAACAAGACTGAGGCTGTTATTATGCCTTCTATAGTGTACAGATGTACGTTTTGCAATATTAGATATAATTCGCCAGACTCGAAACAATTGATGATGCAGCATTTGAAAGCGGCACATAAGATGGAACAACAAGTTCGGTGTACTTTTTGTAAAAAACATTTGAATGTGTTGAGTTTGGTTGCGAATCGGTGGTCACATCGGTGTCTACAAAGTCAGAATAGCTCCACTAGCCGTTCTGTTAATTCGAACAGTTTGGTGTCAAGTGCGACAAGTACTTCAAACGATCAAAACATTATTTAAGTTATAATTATATAAACTTCTTAGTTAGATACATATAATTTAGTTAATTTTATAAAGCAGAAGCACTATTTTTTAAACATATGTATGTATTACAATTGATTTTATGGTTCCAAAAGTATCTAATTAAACACTATTTTTTAATATAAATTATGGTTGATACGAGAAGAGTATAGTGATTTTCTTTTACAATCTTTTTGCTAACATTCTTTATGAGTTTATGATTTATTTTCTTTTATGTTATTATTTATAAGATTCTATATTTGTAACTTTTGAAAAGTAATTATCATTAATTGCCTTTTTCAAAATGTAATGCAATACTCTTTACCTTGTCAGTACTGTTTTTGGGGAATAAATTGTTATTATTTCTTTTTTAGACTTTGGTTTTCTTATCTACCTTGTTAATGGGTTCAATACTTTGGCCTATTGAAATATTTCTTTTTTCTACTTTATAATTGATAAAGCATTTTTTGTAATTTCATTTCAGGAATTTTGTTAATATGATTAGGTATATAGGGGTACGACCACTTAATTTTAACGAATCAACAAATAATGTCAATGATGTTTGGGGGAAAATAAGTCAAAAAAATTTGTCTTAAAAGTCAATGAATTCAACAGCGTAGATTGCAGGAATGTTCTTTATGCCGAAGGCTATTGCATTAATTATTAGACAATTGTATTTTGTGATCTACTTTTAATTTTATTAGTAAATTGCTAGTTTTGTCCGTTTTTATATTTATTTTTTATTACCTCTATATATAGCAAGAAAAAACAAAGTGGTAAATTTAATACCATAATAATAATATTAATTAATAATATACAGGGTGATTCTTAAATAGACCGACAAAATTTTATCACAGCTTCCCAAGTATAAATGGAGACTAACTGAACCCTTTTTACGTTTATATTTTTTAGGGGCAAAACCCCTTTAATCCGTGCRACTTACGGCGTTTATGAATTGTTGCAATGATCAAGTACATTTTGATCAAATTAATACCATGGTTTCCACACTACCTGTACTATACTATTTACGCACACATCAGTGGCGTACGCTTTACCTCAAAAATAACTTTAATAAATTTTATTTGGAGAACGGTTAAACAAAGAATTTTTTCAATATTTTTTCCAGCATGTTCTCATTTGGTACTACCAAGGATAAAATTTTGTCGGTCTATTTAAGAATCACCCTGTATAGTGTATCCCCGGATAGGTGAAACGACTCTTGTAAAAGATAAAAATTCCCGATTTAAATTTTCATTTTACGAGGTTCAGCATTGCTTGGTTAAAGAGTAAAGACTAATTTCTAACATAATTTAAGTTTTAAAAAATTAAGTATGCTTTGAAAATTTTTAAAAAAACCTATTTTTCTGTAAAGTGCCTTTTGTGTGGCGATTATTACTCACGCCGCACAGAAAAATACCATGGAATGTAAGATACCAGGAACATTTACGCTTAGATAAGCTTTTTCCCCCCTTTCTAAAAAGTTGGGGGTGCTTTTTAAAATTTTAAAGTAAGGTTTGTTAGTTATCCGAATCGACATATTTTTTATTTAAATTAAATTGAGTTGCATCAAAGGTCTACTAGGACTAAAAATTTCAAAATTAAACCACTCCTAACTGAAAAACGAATTGACAAAGAAAATTTTTTGTGACATTTAGGTACGCTCATTTTTTCCCTTTCCGTAAATATTTTAAAAAGTAGGGGGTGCCATTTAAAATTTTAAAGTAGGGGTGGCTAGTCACTAAGGGATGAATCCTAAAATCTAACGTTGTTTTTGAACGTTTTGAACTTCCCCTCGCGATCCTAATTGACCTGTTTTTGCTTGAAAATACATTTACTCAATGWCAAGATTGGCTCCTTTTGAAATGAAAGCCCTGTATATTTACCAGATTCACCTTAAAATGTATTTGTTGAATCTTCCAAATGCAATTTCAATTCGAAAACCTCGAAAACTTTCATTAATTTTCATGAATAATTTGTTATTGTCCTTATTGATGCAAATTTGACTTTCTAGGTTTCTATACTTAATTTTTTTAAGAAGAAAGTGTTCAAAGATATAATTAATACGCTTAAATTGGATTGGACGCGTAATCAGCATACAATTGAAGTAATTTTGGAAGTTGATGAGTTTTTTSTCTTGTGTCATTTTGAGGAAAGTTAGGAGCATAAGTATTTAAGTTGTTTACTCGTTTTAAGTGAAATTAATGTTAATTAAATTTTCTCTGTAAGTCTTTGTTTCGAAGATCTTGTTGAAATAGTAATTTTGGGTTATAGAAGTTTTACTGTAGGTATACCTAAAGTCTGTTTTTTTTTAATGGAAATGCCAANGCGTACGCTTTACCTCAAAAATAACTTTAATAAATTTTATTTGGAGAACGGTTAAACAAAGAATTTTTTCAATATTTTTTCCAGCATGTTCTCATTTGGTACTACCAAGGATAAAATTTTGTCGGTCTATTTAAGAATCACCCTGTATAGTGTATCCCCGGATAGGTGAAACGACTCTTGTAAAAGATAAAAATTCCCGATTTAAATTTTCATTTTACGAGGTTCAGCATTGCTTGGTTAAAGAGTAAAGACTAATTTCTAACATAATTTAAGTTTTAAAAAATTAAGTATGCTTTGAAAATTTTTAAAAAAACCTATTTTTCTGTAAAGTGCCTTTTGTGTGGCGATTATTACTCACGCCGCACAGAAAAATACCATGGAATGTAAGATACCAGGAACATTTACGCTTAGATAAGCTTTTTCCCCCCTTTCTAAAAAGTTGGGGGTGCTTTTTAAAATTTTAAAGTAAGGTTTGTTAGTTATCCGAATCGACATATTTTTTATTTAAATTAAATTGAGTTGCATCAAAGGTCTACTAGGACTAAAAATTTCAAAATTAAACCACTCCTAACTGAAAAACGAATTGACAAAGAAAATTTTTTGTGACATTTAGGTACGCTCATTTTTTCCCTTTCCGTAAATATTTTAAAAAGTAGGGGGTGCCATTTAAAATTTTAAAGTAGGGGTGGCTAGTCACTAAGGGATGAATCCTAAAATCTAACGTTGTTTTTGAACGTTTTGAACTTCCCCTCGCGATCCTAATTGACCTGTTTTTGCTTGAAAATACATTTACTCAATGWCAAGATTGGCTCCTTTTGAAATGAAAGCCCTGTATATTTACCAGATTCACCTTAAAATGTATTTGTTGAATCTTCCAAATGCAATTTCAATTCGAAAACCTCGAAAACTTTCATTAATTTTCATGAATAATTTGTTATTGTCCTTATTGATGCAAATTTGACTTTCTAGGTTTCTATACTTAATTTTTTTAAGAAGAAAGTGTTCAAAGATATAATTAATACGCTTAAATTGGATTGGACGCGTAATCAGCATACAATTGAAGTAATTTTGGAAGTTGATGAGTTTTTTSTCTTGTGTCATTTTGAGGAAAGTTAGGAGCATAAGTATTTAAGTTGTTTACTCGTTTTAAGTGAAATTAATGTTAATTAAATTTTCTCTGTAAGTCTTTGTTTCGAAGATCTTCTTGAAATAGTAATTTTGGGTTATAGAAGTTTTACTGTAGGTATACCTAAAGTCTGTTTTTTTTTAATGGAAATGCCAAACCGTCTTAACGTTGGCACCACTAGTAAATCCATTCGTGGTAATTTTAATAAAGGAAGTTGGCAGTTCCGGTTTTTTGAATTAATTTAAAAACAATGTCATTAAACGTCAACACAAAAAATCGGCTAAGAAAATTTAGAGACGAAACACCAAAAAAGAAACGAATTCGGTATCGCTAACAGTTTTTCGAAATTTTGAAACGAATAGTTCACAAGCAGGAAGTTAGAAAAAGAGCCCGTTGCAATTTGTAATGCAGGTTTGCTAAACATTTTCAATTTTTGGCAAGAAATTGACAAGAATACAAAATAAACTTGAATGAGAAAGAACCTCGGAAAGAAAGCAATTAAATTAGTGTCTTGTGCATCGTTTTTTGAGGAACGAGTTGAAAAAGTAACAATTTTCAAACTAAAGCGGAAGAAGAATTTATAAAATGCATCAACTTTGAACTCATTTCAATAAATTACACAAAATTTATTGCCAATCATCAAAATACCTACTTGTATCTTTTGCTAAATAACTTTTTTCCGTATAAYCATCATTTTTCTTCAAAGTTTTTGTAGCAAGAGCCTAATTTTTGTCCACAACATTGTACTTACTAGCGGTGTGTTTCTACCAAAATTATTAGCACTGAATTTTGTCTTTGGACCTGAGGTAATGATTTCTGTCCTCAGGTATTCAATTATTGCGCTTTCAAAGAGCAAACAGGTACATAAAAGTCAAAATTTTGACATCTCAATTTGCAAACATAACCATAATTTTTTAACAAAATTTCTAGMGACAAAAACAAAGGGCAAACAAAATTTGTGGTATGGAGACAAGCTGCTACCAATTTTTTCACCAAAATTTTGACTTGGTAATTTCTATTTAAAGAGAAAACATACTTTAGTTGTAATAACTAGTAAATGTGGTCAAATCCTATCGGATTTAATTAAGAGTTTCATTTTTATTTAGTAAAGTGTTTTTTAGATTGTAAAAAATAATGTTTAGGTCACTTTGAGTAGCTTCAGATCGGTTCAGGTCACTTTATTAGTTGTAATAATTTTATTTCAAAAACCACTTAAGATTAAATTAATTTAACATTATTTAATTTTTAAAATCCTAATAGTAAACATTAATTTTTTTGTAGAACCTTTAGTTAGACAATTCCGGAATCTGCGAAACTCCACAACCACTTTTCTTATTCTTGCTCTCCCATTTTCCCGTAATACGTATTCACAATCCGCCCTGTAACAATCCCAGTTTTATCGGAATCAATAACCATATTCACTTTTCGCCGAAATATACAGGCTTGCTACTTCCCTTAGTAATTCCCATTGTTGGCAGAAATGTGCCATCGTAGATATTCATATTGGCAGCCTTGGAATGGCGTATTAAAAAGTTCCCCAACTTGCAATAATTCGTCCCTACATTTCTATTCACCTGTGCCCCAAAAGGCGACACAATATTAATATTTCGCCGTAAGACCTTGTACACAATTGCAAGGGATTTCATAACAGAAGATAAATTCTAAACTAAATTAATTAAAACTTAAGCCTTGTTGTCTCGCATTTCTAGGGAAAGTTCAGAGACACTTGCAAACTTACAGCTAGTAAGAGAATTAATAGCTGTTATGTCATAATCAGACAGGTTGCGAGGGGAAAATTTTCTCGTTTTTCAATCAACAATCCGCAAAAATTTGCTTAATCGCCAACTGGAGTGATTAATTCTTAACTTGAAACAACTTCCAAAGTAATTAAAATAAATTGTAAAGACTTTCAAATCATGTTCTATTGTGATTTCGGTCGACTCTTGTTTCCCACTTGAGTGTTGACGCAATGAATGATTTCTGTTCGTGATTGTTTCGCCGGCAATAATTTGTCAACATAATGGCTCCTAGCGACATTTTATAACTCTCCAGATAAATTAATATTCGCGAAATTAACACAAGAACCTTTCTGATTGGCCAGTTGCGACACGTGACATCTATGGCCACCGAAGGGGAAACGAAACAATCGACGATTAATCAATATGGCTCCTGGAGGGAGGGAAAACCAGTTTTTTGTTATATTTCTTGAGAATCTGTTATCATTTCTACGTTTTCCCATCCGGCAGTAAATTATTCTGTTCACTCCACACTTGTGGTGTCCTTTTTCTGTCTTCCGGAAGATCATTTTACATATTGCATTTCACCTCTTTCTCTATTGGAATGTTCACTGGAATAAGTTTACGATAAATTTAAACGGATCGTCMGTCGCTTTATGAATTTTTTWAAAAAAATATTAGCTTCATATATCTGAGAGGAATGCGACCGACGAATATTCGRACTCCTTCATCCTGAATTATGCTTCTTTTAGATTAAAACAGGTGAGCGATTGCTGTAATAACAAGTTCCRYAGTAGGTGAATTAGGCCGTTTTTATTCATCAAGTCATTTCATACGATATTTTTTATTTTGTTGAGAACAAATAAAGAAAATAAACAAAATAGCGTTTGATTTTTTGTTGTGCAAGGCTGTGGCGTATAATTGCGGTCAAAGCCGTCCTTTCGCAAACAGAACATGTGCATGTAGTTWTCTACTTAATTAAATTCAATTTAGACTAATTGTAACGATATTTGGTAGCCAGCATTGACTTTAGTTTTGCCGAAATTAATGAAGCTCTCCCTCCAATTGTGTATCCACAGGATATCCCGAAAAGGCTTCTAATTGATCCATCTGTTACATTACAACTACACCAATAAAACGTTTTATGGCCACTAAAGTGTCTCAGGTGTTTGTTTCTACTGAAACACTCACTGTCCACTCTTTCTTTCACCCGCTGCATCTAAAGCCAACAGCTTAATTTTATTTGGCTGATTATGTAGGTGCTGTTTTTGCCTTGAAATTAGCATTTCCGGATCATGAATTTACTGCTTTTGCATAAAGTGACCCTTAAAATCTTGGAGGACAATTTCTTGCAACGATGCTTAATTTAAGCTCGCTTTGTTCTCAAGAATTTGCGATTCCAGTTGAAAAACAATCCCGTGCAGGTGTCTGAAAATTAGAGATTTAATTTCCATAATGAAGGGAGCGCAAAATTCGCATGAAAAAATAGCAACATTGTTTTTTTAGTTTAGTCTTAATTAAGTTGGCAATATTAGATTTTSTAAAAACAAAAGACAGAGACGCGTCAAACAACCTCTCACTGTACATGATTGTGACAGTGTTTTCACCTTTATTTTGCGTTCACTTGCCCCTCGAGACGCCTTGACATACAGAGTGTTCCGTCTAAACCCCACATTAGAAGTATTGGGAGTTGGAATAATCGTATTTATTTGAAAATTGGTACATAGCCATAAACCATTAAGTTCTCCTAAATAAAAATATCTTCTAGATGGCGGTATTTCCGGTTATACCGGAAGTCGGTCTCAACTTTCTTATTTTAAATAAAAAGGTATATTTTTTACTCGTTTTTGAATTAATCGGGTTATTTTAAGGGAGGTTTCATCAGCTTTCCCTATACCTAAATTTAGCCGTTTATGAAATATTTGGAGATTTAAAAAAAAAAATTGGATCTACACCTTCCATTTTAAAAATCGGTAACTCTGCCATTTTTTAAGATTTTGAATTCGTTTTTTTGGCGTTTGAAAGAGGAAGCTTAGATCCTTTCTCTGGTGTTTTCAAATTTTGAAAAAAATAACATATCCCAAAATTTTAAGGTTACTTTTGTAATAATTCAAATACTTATAACTCAATTTTTTCAAATGAAATACCCCAATTTTTATTTTACTAAATAGAAGAGAATTTAATTATGCAATGATCTGAATTAACATTTCCTATACCTAAATTTAATAATTTTCTAGTTATGGACCTTTTTTGAAGACTACAGAAAGTTTATTACTAGCCACACCCGTTTTCACGTAGTTTGCTATGGAAATCAAAAATGTCAAAATTGTTTGTCAAAGTCGACTGTCGACGTTTATTGAGAAAGAATTTTGACATTTTTGATTTCCATGGCAAACTATACGAAAACGGATGTGGCTAGTAATAGATTTTCGACAGTCTTAAAAAAAAGTCAAAAAGGGAACGTTAATACAGATCGATGCAGAATTAAATTCTCTTTCATTTAGTAAAATAAAAATTGGGGTATTTCATTTGGAAAAATTGAGTTATGGGTATTTGAATTACTACAAAAGTAACTCTTAAATTTTAAAGTTTGTTAATTTTTTTTTCAAAATTTGAAAACACCAGAACGCTAAAAAAAAAACGAATTTAAAATTTAAAAAAATAACAGAGTTACCCATTTTTAAAGTGGAAGGTGCAGATCCAAAATTTTTTGAAAATCTCCAAATATATCAAAAACCCCTAAATTTGGGTATAGGGAAAGCTGATGAAAACTCTCTTAAAATAACCCGATTAATCCAAAACGTAGTAAAAAATATAGCTTTCCATTTAAAATAAGAAAATTGAGACCGACTTTCGGTATAACCGGAAGTGCCAATATCTGAAAAATATTTTCATTTAGGAGGACTTAATGCATTATGGCTATGTACCAATTTTCAAACAAATATGATTATTCGAACTCCCAATACTTTTAATGTGGGGTTTAGACGGAACACCCTGTATAAGATGGATTGATGATGTGATCGTAATTTTTATTGTAAATTATTTTGTTAACTAGTTTCAGCTCCCAACAGGTCATTTGTTAGAACCTCACTAAACCACTCAAGTCGAAAATGGTGGAGGCGCCGGACTAAAAATTCTCGTATTCAAATTATTTCGTCCATCCGTCCGAACTTACAAAAATAAATTGAGCAAAACGGCGGGTTGTTTACGGTAAGCACATAATTATAAGCAACCCTTTTTAGAAAGAGTTTTCGAATTAATCAACGGACCGTGACTTTACTTTCACGGGCTAAAAACGGATCAAATTAAATTTCAGAACGTTTAAATCAAAAAAATATGTTTTTATTACGGTGGTAGTTCTTAAAATAGCGTATACGCAGCTTAGACCGTCTTTAAATAATAAAGTAGGGAACGTTTGGTCCAGGAATAATTTAACTCGCCGACGTGCGGTAACACTTCTATTCCATTATCTCGTTCCTCAATTAATCAGTCTACCATTAAGAATTTATCGTTTTCGCACCTAGACCGATTTAATTGATAATATGACAAGTAGGCGTTGTATGCGAATTTCATGAAAGGTTGGAAGGTTTCATAAAAATAAGCAGAATGTAAGATTGTAATTTATGACGAGACCAAAATAAAATAAAACAAAAATTGCACTTCTTGGATATTTGGAAGGATATGTTATGTGAATAGTTCTCTAAAGTTTGTTAAGAAGAAAGTTAAAAACTGATTTTCGAGCAAATGAAATTGAAAGTCGGTAGACACCACCAAAAAATTAATTATGTTTTTTTTTCGTTAAAAATGTTACATAAAAATTGCAGTTAAATATTTTAACTACTAATAAGACAACAAGATTTTTATAGACAGTTTAATAAACATCGAGGACGATTCAACAAAAAAAAGGGATGCAAAATTTTTACACTTTTTTCTGTACTTGTTTTTGCCAATAATTTTAACTCATTTTTTTAACAATGTAATAGCAAGGAGCTACCTCAGAGATCATTTTTTTACAATTTGAATTGGTGAAGTTAAAGGCTGCGCTCTAAATTAAAATTTATTCGACGAACCCTCTATATCTCAAAAACTATAAACATTTGGATAAAGTAAGGTGAGTTATTTTTTTAAGAGTATTATTATTCTTGAGTACTAAACACAACGTAAGGTAAGTTGGCGCTTTTCGTAGTTCTCATAGTTCCGAAAGTTCAGTAATCATTTTGAAAATAAATTAGTTAAATCAAAGATCGTCGATTTTGATCACGTCCTAAATTTCAAAGCCGTAGCTACATTGGAAGTTAATAGTAATAGTATGGATCAAAATACACAAAAAAGGCTTAATAAACATGGGCAGATAAAGTAACGTTTCAGAGATATGGAATGTGATGATCTTTTATGTCTTTTTTAATTTTGCAAAAAGTGCATTTTCTTATCATAGTTGGCTAATGTTTTGTAAAATAAACATTAAGTATTTGACCGTTGTTGTTAAAGCCTGCAAGATCGCTTTAATCCTAAATATTTTTTACATCTTATGTAACTTTGTTTTTGTTTTTGCTAGAAGCTTCTTTTGTTTATAGAGAATGCAAATAAGTCTTTCGTATCTCCGATACCGTTACTTTGCGGATCTATTTTTATTAAAAAAATATTTTTTACTTATTCTTTTTATATCACCCTGTATTACTAAGATTTTTACTGTAGCATTAAACAACAACTTTATAGGCGCTTAATAATATTCTAAAGTATTGATTGTTCTACAAATATGAATTTTTTAATAACATTGATATGAGGAATTTTTTAAAATAATATAAAATAAAAAGCATAGCAAGTGTTTTTTATGTTTGCAATAAAATAAGAAATCTAGTCCATTGAATTTATCTGAATAGAGAAAAATGGACTTTAATTGTGCAGTTTTACTCCTATTTGGTGTCAGTATTATCGCAGACACTGACAATGTGGTAAAAATACACAAACAGTTAATTATTTCACAATATATTATTATTTTTTATAGGTAAAAAAACAGGTACGCATATAACGTAATACAGACTGATTTATACAGGATGCTCGCGGATTACAAGCAAATATTCTAACCACTAAAATAAAGGAGAAGTCAATTTGAAGATCAAACAAATTCTGTATGCAATTTTTTTGCAATTTTTCCTTATGATTTTCATAAGCCATTCAGTGTGTCTGCTCTTGTTATGTGGAAGTAAAAGTATCAATGAAAATAATTTGCATTGAATGTTGATCGTGAGAGTTATTATGCATAAAAAGTCGATGACTTTGTGCATAAAAAAATATCAGTTTAACGCGCTTTCGGGTAAATTTTGCACATCGATTCAAAATCAAATTATAAATCAAGTCATTATTTGGTCAACTACTCCAATGCCGAATTGATTAGTGTACGAGTATCACTTAGAAACACATCACTCACACATAATAACAACTTTTCTTCACTTGCATAATAAAGTACTATTATTTTTTCAAATGTTAATAAAAAATACCACTTAATTCCACCTAAATAAAAAAAAATCGATTCACTTAGCTATTGTTGCAGAATTATCTAAAATTTTAAAGTCTAATTGTGTTTTTAACACGGTATATGTCGGTAACTAAAAAACATTTATGAGAATGTTTTTCACTATTATTTATTATTTGGCATAACCTATCATTCCTTAAGATTATGCGTAAGTTAAGACTCACCTTGTATAAATAAATATAATAGGTATGTTTCGATYTTTTAATTTTTACAGACTAGAGAAAAGGTGTGTATAAATAAAATGATATCAAAACGTTTGATTGAAACATTTTTTTGAAACAGGTAAAAGGAAAAGCCAGTCAAAAAAATTTGGTTCAACCCAGAAAGAAACAGCTCGCTGATAAATTGAGTTCCGTAAATAATACAATTCAACCCAGGCTAAGAACTTTTTAGTAACAATAATAATAATAATCACAATATTATTAATAATACATTATGTCTTGAATAATTGTCTGCCAAATGGTTTCTTCTTTTTTTTGTCTAGTCATAATAAAATAAAATATCGCGTAGTAATATCAAAGCAAAACTCGTAGATAGCTTCATTGTGAGATATAACCAAGGACGTTATGTGAACATCTAACCTCCTTGGATATAATCAATTACTTAAAACTCAATTAAATTAATTTTTTTTTTATGAAAGCTATAAAATAGTATAAAAAATTCATTTCATAAAACTTAAAAGCACTTATTCTTTAAAATAATAANNNNTAATATACTACTAAGTACTATTAGTACTACTAAAACTTAAAAAGTGTAAATGGAACACCCTATTTTGTGTGTTTGTTTCTATTAGATTACTAAATTATCTATCAAAAATATAAACTTTTAAATGTCTAGAATTGATAAGTAAAAAGATATTAATTTTAAATACTAATTTTAACAACAATGCTTATCAATACAAGGTGCCCCAGAACTCGCGCTACAGAGAAAAATGCCATGTAAAGTACGATACCAGGAACATGAAAAAAATGATAAAAAATTCTATCTATAAAAATTTTGAAGTTATGAGCATTTAAATTTTGTACTTTGACTCTATTTATTTCTATTGGAAAAATAATTTTTCAAGTTTTTTGCTGCAGGCTATAGAAGAAGAAACAAGGAAGCTGTATCTTAAATTGTAACTCTGTTTAGTGTTATTTGTGGCTATTATTGGCACAATTTTTGTACATTTACTAAATAATTATAAAGAAAAAACATATACAAAATTACCAGTATCATTAAATAGACATAAAACATTTGACAGATAGAATTATTTAAACATTTTTTCCATCTTCCTGGTATCTTATCTTACTTGAATTTTTTCTCTGGGCGCGAGTTCGAACACACCCTGTATGTAAATGTGATTATTAAGTGATATTTCTTCCCTCTTTTGTCCAACTTTTAGATACTGAAATAATAGTTAATTTTTTTTATTCACAATCACTAATTTAATATGACGATTACTAACCTTTTATCCCTTGGGCGGTAATATGCAGTTTTTTCAACGTCAAGATTACAAAAATATTGGGAATTTTTTCTTTCAAATTGTAAAGTTACGTGTTACACATAATATTTTGCTAAATTAGTATTCAATTGCTTCTGTAGCTGTTTTTCTTACTTTTCGGGGAGTGCACTGCTCCATTTCAGCAGTGGTAATAAATAAATAAATAAATTCACACATTATTTCAATACTTTCTTTGACATTGCTGAAAAAAATATGTTTCGTAAAAAAACAACGAATTTTAAAAACTAAGCAAAATTGACCAATAAAAGTTTAGCTTAAAAACATTAAAACATGAATTAAACATTATGGTGTGTCATTAACAAAAATTTAAGTTCGTATAGTAACTTATTTTTGAGACACGCTGTTTGATTAAAAATAATTTCAAGGGGTGCCCTAGTTAATCTATCAATTTGCAATATACATTTTTTTACATTTTAACATTTAAATGTCAATAATGGACTTCACCAACTTGCTGGGACGCCCTGTCAGGGTTTTATTTATGTGAATGACCCTGGAGATAAATAAATATTGCTACATTATAGACTTATCTTAAACATTGAATTTCAGATGGCATGCAGTTCTGATAACGGCGAGTATTTTATGATAAAATCTAAAAAATCAAATCTGGTATTTGACGCGTCGAATGATGTAGTTAAAATTCAGGCTCCTTCTAAGTCTGCGACACAGTTATGGTCACTGGAAATGGCAGGACTTGGAAAATTTTACATATATAATCGTGCCACCGGGTATAAAACTTAATTTATGCATTAAAAATTAACGGGTGTTTTTAAATTTGGCGTCAAAGCTATCCATGAAAGTTCCATTGTGAACGAACCATCGTATTGAAAGTTGCTAATCTGACATTTGAGACCTCGCCGGGCTTATTAGAAATTGCATTACCACCAATGACGCCAAATCTAAATAAGCACCAGTTATTTAAAAAACAAATAAATAAAATATTCCAGAAACGTGTTGGATATTAGCGGTGGAGGTTCACCTGAAGCTAAACTAATTACCTACCCGAAACATTGTGGACCAAATCAGCAATGGTATATTAATTACAGTGGCATTACCAGTGCCGTTAAGGATTTTGTTGTTGATTTATGGCATGAGAGTTATAACCAAGGAAATGATGTAGTAGTATATCCTTGGCATGGAAGAGAAAGTGAATTGTTCACTTTTGAACCTGTTTAATTATCTTGTAATTATTTTTAGTCCATCTTCAATGTTAAAATTGCATTTTATCTTCTCTTTACTACATCTTAAAATGCAATTTTATCGTTTAGACAATAAAAACGTACTTGTTCACGTATCATTTTTTAACAATCATAATTATACCTATTAGTTTCTAACGTTTTTTGAGATTTTGAATTTTTTGGATTCAAAGAATTAAATTCATGTAGCAGTAAAAACGGTGAAGGTTGAATAAAATTTTATATTATATACAATATGTCCCCGGATTAAATTTACAAGAGAAAAAAAATATCTTTTATCCGCAAACGTCACAAAAGTGACCATTTTTATGACTAAATGACAAAAGTAAAAGTTTTACTTTTCAGACATGGAGTGAAAACACTGTTTTTACGCCTAGGCGTTTTCACTTTTACTTGACACTTACTTTGACATTTACCACTATTGTCTCTTTCTTGTCTCTTTTGCTTTTTCAACATTTTCTGGAGAGGTACAAGGTAGATTATCAGCATTCGACATTTTGCACTATAAACTACACCAGTTATTCACCAGATAAATCAATCAACACTTTCGAAATCTCAACACAAATTCCCAAACTGACGCATGACGTTTGTTATAATTTTATTGCAAAGCGTCCTGATTATTGAGGTGATTTACTTTGATTGTTGGTGTGTTGCTCTTTTCTCTCCATCTGAATCGTTTGCAGATAAAATAGTATATGTTATTTGGTGTAAAAGTGAGTTTATGTGGCTCAGATGAATCCATTTGCCTCACTCCGTTCGGCAAAATGAACGTTAAGCTTCGCCACATAAACAATCGCTTTTACTCCTAATAACATAATCTACTATTATTTTACGCCAAAACTGCTAAACAAAAACATTTTTTACTTGAAACGAGTTCAGAGGAAGGAAAAGTTTATTTTTTTCTTAATTTTGGACTTATATTTGTTAAAAACATAATTTTAATAAATGGCAACTCAAAGAAACACCTTTAAGTGAAGAAAGCAGTGATTCAATTAATTAATTAATTGTCAAGGTGTCATCGTTGTCGGTCGCGGCGGTCCTAATTCTAAGCCTTCCAGGAGTCAGGATTTTAATATTCTTAAATAGACCGACAAAACTTTATCACATCATCCTAAGGATAAATGGAGACAAACTTTGCCCTTTTTATGTTTATACCTTTTAGGGGCAAAACCCCCTTGATCCGTGCCACTTACGGCGTTTATGAATTGTTGCAATAATCAAGTACGTTAATACCATGGTTACCACTACATGTGCTAATACATCAGTGGCGTACGCTTTACTTCGAAAATAACTTTAATAAATTTTATTTGGAGAACGATTAAACAAGAATTTTTTTAATAATGTTTCCAGCATGTTCTCATTTCATACTACCAAAGGATTAAATTTTGTCGGTCTATTTAAGAATCACCCTGTATATTGGACTTGGTTTTCTGGGGCCATATTAAAAATTTGGTTTATTAACTACTATTGCCAGAAAGAATTAAAAATTAAGCTCCAAGAACAAATTTTCCAAACTGCTAATTCGGTGATGAATGCTGTATTTGAACACCTGCTATATTATTTTTTAATTTTTATAACGATGTTATTGTTAAATTAAATTTGAGTAARGCTAACCCAYCAAAAAAAACTAATTTCTRATGTTAATTTCTTATATTCAAGCCTGCCTYGGACACCCGGTATATTAATTAGGACCTATTCATCGTTTTACAATCAAACATAAAATTTTCAATAACACTGGTGATAACAGTCTTTAATTCTTTTTGAAATACTAAKATATAAAGTGTTTTTTTATGTTTTCAAACAGGACCTATAAACAGAGAAATCCTAACTATTGAATTTACGASTATCTGAATARTGAATYGAGAAAAATGAATTTTAATTGTGRAGTTCTACTCTTATTTAGTGTCTGTATTATCGCAGTTACTGACAATGTGGTAAATATACACAAAAGTTTAAATATCTACCACTTTCTTATTGTTTTCTTTTGTGTAGCTTTTTTACATTGTATTTTATAAGATTTTATTTAATTTTTAATCTATGATGGTTTAATTTAACCAAAACTAGTCCAATTTGTTTTTTTATTTTCCTAGTTAGGTCGACTTCGAATTTTAATTTCTTCTTCACGAAACTTACCCAACTTTGCAATGGTCACCGCTTTACTAATTTTTTTGATATATGTTTATATGAAACTTTTGTCTTAAACATTTGTATAAATAAATAATTATGTTTTGGTGATTTATTTTTTATAGACTAAAGAAAAGGTACGCATGCAACAAAGTAATATTAAAACGTTTGATTGAAACATTTTCTTGCAATAGGCAAAAGGAAAAGCGGGTCAAAAAAATTTAGTTCAACTCAGAATAAAACAGCCAGCTGATGCATTGGGTCTCGTAAATAATACAATTCAACCCAGGGTAAGAACTTTTTAGTTTAGTTTTATATTGACTTAAAATTTTAATTTCTGTAAYTTGTGGTGTGTTCTAACCACTTGTGATATTTTTTCGCAAATCTTCTTAAAAGTGATAGCTTAGATTATGGAGGAATAAATTTATTTATCCATAGTCACTCTATAAAGAYACTTTGTTACACACTTTAGATGCGTATAAAGTACCACTTTATTCACTAGTGGAATAAAGTTACTTTTAATAACCAGCGCACCGCGTAACAACTTACTACGTTTAACCGAAAGCACATTTGGCGTGATGTTTAAATGTCAGTTTAATTTTTAATTAAGTTTGGAATAATTTGGAATAATTAATTTGGCCTGTGATTGTGGATAAAACGTTACATTGCAGTCGTGTGTTAGTCGCGTTTTATCCACTTAAGAACATTCTTGCGTGGATAAAACGCTACGTAACACACTCTTACAATAAATAACTATTGAATACACATTGAATTTCAGATGGCATGCAGTTCTCAAAACTGCAAATACTTTATGATAAAACACAAAAATCAGGTCTGGTATTAGACGCATCGAATGATGTAGTTAAAATTCAGACTCCTACCCGGTCTACGACACAGCTACGGTCACTAGAAATGGCAGGACTTGGAAAAGTTTACATAGTTAATCYTGCCACTGAGTATAAAACTTAATTTATGCATAAATAATTATTTAAAAACAAAAAAAATATGTTCACAGAAACGTTTTGGATATCAAAGATGGAGTTTCAAAACTTTCAAATGAAGTTAGACTAATTACCTATCCGAAARATTGTGGACCCAATCAGCAATGGTTAATTCACAGGTATGATTATATTTGGAGTGTRGTTGAAGATTTTGTTGTTGATATATGGCATGAGATTTATGATCAAGGAAATGATATAGTGGTATATTCTTGGATTCATGGAAAAAAAGTCAACTGTTCACTTTGGAACCTGTATAATTATTATCTTGTAATTTTTAAGTATAATTTATTTATGCTTAATGTGAAATAAAATTACGAAACAAACTTTGTTGCTTTTATTTTTCTCTGGGGCGCGAGTTCTGACACACTCTGTGCTTTTAACAATAAAATTAAGATTTTTACTTTATCATTAAAAAACAACTTTATAGATGCTAAACAATATCCTAAAGTATTGATTGTTTCATAATCAAACATAAAATCTTTAATAACTCTGATATTAGAATTTAAAAAAATTTCAATTTTGTTGTAACAAAAAAAAATAAAAAGCATATTAAGTGTTTTTTTATGTTTGCAAGAAATATAAAATGTGAAACCCGACCCACTGAATTTATTTGAATTTTGTAGAGAAAAAAATGAATTTTAATTGTGCAGTTCTACTCCTATTTGGTGCCTGTATTATCGCAGCTACAGGCAATGTGGTAAAAATTCTCAAAAATTAAATTAAGTTATAGTATTTTATTAAATACAGAATGATTCAAAAAAGGCTACGAGCCTGATTGGTTGTACAATTGGTTGTACCATAATAATACGGYAAAATTTATCGTCTGGAAGGCTGATTCTGTTCTTTTTCCATATAATTTACATTAGCAGATGACATTTTGCAGCCTTTTAGGTGTATATATTTTTTCGATGATATGGTATTTAAAGTCTCTKAAGCTCGAAGTTTTATATGAATCATTCTGTATAAAACGAATTATTTAAAAAATGTGTTTGTGAAATAGCCAAAYACGGAATCGAGTCCCAAAAATGCAGTTGGAACCAAGGTGAGAATTTTTTAATGAAGCGTTATTTTTATTGAATTTATTGTAGGCTAAAGAAGAGGTATGTATGTAGCAAAATAATAATAAAACRTTTTAATTGAAACATTGTCTTCACAATAGCCAAAGAAAGAATCGACTCCTAAAAATGCCGATTCACCTAAGGTAAGAATTTATAATATTAAAGGACTCGTGTCCTATACAGGGTGATTCTTAAATAGACCGACAAAATTTTATCCTTGGTAGTATCAAATGAGAACATGCTGGAAAAAATATTTAAAAAATTCTTTGTTTAAACGTTCTTCAAATAAAATTTATTAAAGTTATTATCGAAGTAAACCGTACGCCACTGATGTGTTAGCACAGGTAGTGGTAACCATGGTATTAATGTACTTGATGATTGCAACAATTCATAAACGCCGTAAGTGGCACGGATCAAGGGGGTTTTGCCCCTAAAAGGTATAAACATAAAAAGGGTAAAGTTTGTCTCCATTTATCCTTAGGAAGATGTAATAAAATTTTATCGGTCTATTTAAGAATCACCCTGTATCTACTGATAAGAATTTTACAGCTCTCGGAATGTGGGTATGGAAATTTGATTTTTTTGTAATAACTTTGGAATTATTTGACCAAATATTATAAAATTTGGAACATGTCCCTGTGACAACATACCCTTTAAACTGGTAAAAATTGGTGTTAAGAAAGCAAAAAAATAAAAAACACAGAAAATGTGACCTGCAACTGCTGGAACCGGAAATTGAGTGGATGTATCCGGTTTTCGTGATTACCAGTTTAAAGGGTATGTTGTCACAGGGAAATGTTCCAAATTTTATAATATTTGGTCAAGTAATTCCAAAGTTATTACAAAAAAATCAAATTTCCATACCCACATTCCGAGGGCTGTAAAATTCTTATCAGTAGATATAGGACACGAGTTATTACTTAAATTAACATCATTTGATGGGTCATTTTTGAGGTTCAAATATTGCTTCATATTTATGAATAACCCTGTATAAATAGGAAACACTAGTTTCACCTGTTTCTATAGATGTACTCCTATAATATTTTTTACACTAATTAAAAAATTTTTATTGCTTTATTTTTTGGTAGGTTAAAGCAGAGGTATGTATGTAACAGCACAAAAACGCCCAGGTAAAACATTTTTTTGCAATAGCCAAAAGGAGAATCGAATTCAACAAATTTAATTCAATCCAAGGTAAGAATATGATTGAAAAAAAAGATGTTTTTGTGTATTATTTTTTATAGGCTAAAGAAGAAGTACGTATTTAATAAAACAATATCAAAACGTTTAATTGTAACATTTTCTTGCAATAGGCGAAAGGAAAAGCGAGTCCAAAAAATTTAGTTCTTCCTAGACTGAAACAGCTCGCTGATAAATTGGGTCCCGTAAATAATACAGTTCAACCCAGGGTAAGAACTTTTCAGTCTAGATTTTTATTAGAGGTGAATTTGATCCATAGCTTTTAAGTGGATGTTACGAACATAAGTAAAATGGTAGTAACAAAGTCGGTGATAAAATCTGTATTCAAAAAGAGACATGTTTTGGCAAAACTTTTGTCATCATCAGCTTAGATCGAGAAAGGGCCTTGTAAAATATGTGAAACAAATAACTAACGGAGATTTACCAAAAGCTCCAAAATAAAAATATAAAACTAGAAATATAATAATTATTCCTGCGAAACCTTCTTATCCCTTTAACTTTCTTTCACTGAAATAATGTGATTATTTTATTCATGGTACTAAATTTTTATTTCAAAGCTTTTTAAATTTGTTGGTAAATTTCTGTTAGTTAATCTTGATTTAGGCTAATAATGACAAAAGTTTTGCCGAAACATGTCTTTTTTTGTATAAACATTTTATTCCTAAATGTGGAATTGACTTTGTTACTACCATTTTACTTACATTTTTATAGTGTGTACTAATCACTTGATATTTTGTTGTTTATTTGCCAAAAATCTTAGCAGGTGGGATGCGGTCCTTATATTGGCAGCGGTCAGACATTTATGATAAAACACGTAACATCAGGTCTGGTGTTGGACGCTTGCAGTTTGGAAGTTAAAATGCAYGTACCTACGCGGTCTAGGACACAGTTATGGTCACAACAATCGGCAGGACTTGACAAGTTTTATTTAGTTAATCGTGCCAATGGGTATTAAAATTAATTTACATACAGMATGCTCCAGAACTCGCGCCCCATAGAAAAATGCCATATAATGTAAGATACCAGGAACATGGAAAAAATGTTAAAAAAGAAATTATCTATAAAAATTTCGAAGTTATGAGGGTTTAAAGTTTGAACTTTGACTCTATTTATTTCTGTTGGATAATAATTTTCCAAGTTTTTTTATTATAAGCTATTAAAATAGGAAACAATGAAGCTGTATCCTAAACTGTAAGTCTGTTCAATGTTATTTGTGGCTTTTATTGACAAAATTTTTGTCCCTCTACTAAGTAATTGTAAAAAACATATGCACGATCATCAGGATCATTAAGAAGATATAAAAAAATGTCAAATGTCAAAAAATAAATGTCAAAATTTTTTGACAGATAGAATTTTTTAAACATTTTTTTATGTTCCTGGTATCTAACCTTACTTGAAAATTTTCTCTGGAGCGCAAGTTCTGGCGCACCCTGTATAAATAATTATTAAAAAATAACAAAAAAATATGTTTACAGAAAAGTTTTGGATATTAAAGATGGAGGATCACCTTATGCTAAACTAATCACCTACCCAAAACATGGTGGACTGAATCAACAATGGTATAATAACTGCGGTCAAATTGCCAGTGGTATTACAAATCTTGCTATTGCTGTTCAGGGAAATAATGTAATAGCATGCAATAGCAACTATGGAACCCCTACCGAAATGTTCACTTTTGCACCTGTTTGTTCAAATAATTGTAATATTTTTTGAGTATGATAACTTATTATGCTTAATGTGAAATAAAATTACGAAACAAACTTTGTTGCTTTTACTTTAATTTTGTGATGTCAAGAAACTGAAATGATTGAATTTGATAAATAGAAGGAAATAGAAATAATCCTTTGACAGAGTTACGACCACTTTCATAATAAATTTTAAATTTGTTTTAAAAATTAAAGTTTTCATTAACATAAAATTGGGTTTCATAAACACTATATAGACTTTAAAAATACTTTAAATTAAAGTGTTAAAGGAGACTTTAACTTTGATAGTTTTAAATCGGGATTTACACTATGGTAGTGTTTCGTCTAGGTCAAGTTCATCCTCGGAAGAACCTGTAAGAAGAAAAAAAATTTACATAAAACGGGAAAGATTGGAATTGGGCAAAACCATCCCCAGTTCCACTATTTGTTTTTAATTTAAAAGTGATCGTTGCAGTATCCTAAAAAAAATTATACGTTAGCATTTTTATGGTCTTGTAAACATACATAAAGTATTAGCGCTGCCATAAAAATGTTGTTAAAAATACCGTACATAGCTTTTATACCATTTAACATCAAACCTATTATAATTCGAAAAAATAAGTTTTTTTAATGATGCCTCACTTAAGTCATGTTTCCATTAAAAAATCGATTTGGCTTAGTATTTCAAAAATTTATGAACCAAAAAAGATTATAAAACCTAACATGCATAAGTAGTTTTTTTTGAGCTTTTTTGAAACCGTTTTAGCAAGTTTTAACCGGTTCTATACATAATAGCAACCCTGTATGTATTTTTTACAATTTAAAATTAAGATGTTTATTCTGTCATTAAAAATCAACTTTATAGACGCTTAACAGTATCCTAAACTACTCATTGTTTTACAATCAAACATACAATTTTCAATAACACTGAAATGAAAGTTTAAATTTTTTTTTTTTAATACCTACTCAAATAAAAAACATAAACGTTTCTTTATGTTTGCAAAAAGTAGTTATAAAAGAAGAAATCCGATCCATTAAAGTTCTCCGTTGAATAGAGAAAAATGAATTTTAATTGTGCTGTTCTACTCCTATTTTGTGTTTGTATTATCGGAGCTACTGACAATGTGATAAAAATACACAAAAATTTAAATAGTCACCAGTTTATTATTGTGTTTTGTAGGTAAAAAGCAGGTGGGTATGTAAGCTTAAATACACAACAGAAACAGTACAAGATATTAAAACATTTGATTGAAAAATGATTTTGAAATAGGCAGAAGAAAAAACGAGTAAAAAAAATTCAGTTCAACCCAGAGTAAAACAGCAAGCTGAAGTATTAGGTCCCGTAAATAACACAATCCAACCTAGGGTAAGAACTTTATAGCCTAGATTTTTATTAACTTAAATTTTAAGTGCGGTAAAATTTAGTGTGTTCTAATCACTTCTAATAAAAAAGTCTTAGCTGTGTCACTCTGTATAATATACAAGCTGAGTCTGTAAAAAGATATTTTAATTTTATGTCAAAAATTAATAGTTCCTCAAAAATTAGCGTTTGCTATAAAAAACTATGTTTTTCTCAATGCATGTGAATTTTTTGAGAATTATTCTATTATTATTTAATGTCTGACCAACTTTCGAATGGTGAATTCAAATGTTTGTTTCAAGTTTTTTTTTTGGAAAGACGGAACTGTCATTTCATATAATCATGTAGGCATCTTAGTTTTTTTGTTTCAGATGTTGTTAGTTTTAATTTATTGTAGAGTTTGTTACTTTGTTAAATGTTTTTTACACTATAAGACAAAAATTGGTGATTTTTTTCAACAGTTTTACAAGATCTGCCGTTTCCGCTAACTAAATTCAGGATTCAGGAACTTAATTCCAAATCCAATCTTTGAAGAGCTATATCTCGTGAAAATAGACTCAAACAATTTTTTGCCCTTAGTTGGATGTCCTTTATCATTACCCAAGAGATGGTCCGACACTTTTGAATCACCTGGATATAGTTGCTCAATGAGCTTAAAATTTGGTGTAAGAGCCTTTTGTCGTATTTGTCACATAAAAGTCAGTTTACAGAAAAATAGGTTTTTTTGAAAATTTCCAAGATTACTTAATTTTTCAYCCCTAAAATTGTGTTAGAAATTACTCTCTAACCAAGCAAGGCTYAATTCCAAAAAATGAAAGCAAACATTTTTTATCTTTTACAAGAGTCGTTTCACCGATTCGGGAACACATTGTAGATAAAAAAAATATTGTTGGACGTCTTGAACTGTAAATTTCAGATGGCATGCGATTGTCAAAACTGCGAGTACTTTATGATAAAAACCAAAAAATCAAATCTGGTATTAGACGCTTGCGATGATGTCGTTAAAGTTCAGGCACCTACTAAGTCTGCGTCACAGTTATGGTCGCTAGAATTGGATGGACTTGGAAAATTTTATATAGTTAATCGTGCCACCGGGTATAAAACTTAGTTTATGCATAAATATTTATTAAAAATTAAATAATATATATTTACAGAAACGCTTTGGATATCAAAGGTGGAGGTTCAAGAGCAGATAAATTAGTTACCTACCCAAAACATTGTGGACCGAATCAGCAATGGTATATTAATGAGAAGGGCAATATTTACAGTCCCATTGAGAGTCTTGCTGTTGATCTATGGCTTGAGTCTTATAATCAAGGAACTGATGTAGTAGCATACCCTTGGAYCTCTAAAAGAATAAGCCAAGTGTTCACTTTTGAACTTGTATAATTATCTTGTAATAATTTATTACGCTTAATCTAAAATAGAATCACGAGACAAACTTTGCTTTGTTGCTTTTATTTTCATTTTGTGATGTTTCAAAAAGTCAAAAATGTTAAAATGTCGATTGGCTTTCTATTATTGCTGAGATTATGCCACGAAGTTTTAATTTTGACAAACAAATCACCAAATACAGGGTGAATAAAAAGTATGGAAGCAAGCATTTTTTAAGCGGTTCCATACATAATGGCAACTCGGTATATATTTTTCATAATGTACTTTCAAGATGTTTATTCTACGTATCATTGAAAAACAACTTTATTGACGCTTAACAATATCCCCAAGTATATTCCCTGTTACACAATCAAACAATTTATTTACAATAACACTAAAAGRTTTAAAATTTATAAAAAAATTAAAATACTAAAATGAAAAACATAAATGTTTCTTTGTGTTTACAAAAAGGATAAAAGGAGAAATTTGACCTACTGAATTTATCTGAATATTGACCAGAGAAAAATAAATTTTAATTATGCAGTTCTACTCCTATTTGGTGTCAGTATTATCGCAGCTACTGGCAATGTGGTAATAATACATCAAAATTTACTATACGTACTAACTTTTTTTTAAATAGACAAACAGGTAGTTATTTATAACACAGGATAATTTACATAAAACTACGAACTTGACTAGTTCTACTATTCTACTTTTGGTTCTATTCAAAGTTTGTCAGGCTTGTAGTTTTATGTAAATCACTCTGTAATACAAAAATACATGTACAGTTTGTTCCCGGATAGGTGAATCAACTTTTGTAAAAGATAAAAAATGATCGATTAATTTTTTTTTTTGAAGTTCAGCCCTGCTTAGTTAAAGATTAATATCTAACATAATTTTAGTTTTGAAAAACCAAGTATGCCTTAAAAATAAAAAAAAATATTTTTCTTTAGAATAGAGTGCCTTTTGTGTTGTAAATACGACAAAAAGTTATTAAAAAAAGTTGTATAGAATCAACATCTAGGCCCGTAAACTAAATTTCAAAACCATCGGCCAACTTAAATTTTTAATTTTTTATGTTTATTAATTCAGGAACCAAAGAATTAGTTCTCTTATTACGAATAAAAAAAAACTACATTTAGGTTATTACTGACTTATTAGTACTAAATAATTTTTTGACGGTTCTGTTAATAAAAAGTAAGTATCTCAGAAAAAATAAGAAAGCATAGGTACATACAGTGCGATCAAAAAGTCCGTCTATCAAGCAAGCGTAGAAATTTAAAACGTATGTCTGTGGAAGATAAAATGTCACAATGACAAATGAGAAATGTCAAAATAATTTTTATGTAAATTATGACAGGAAACCGTGGTGAACGATTTTTATGAATAAACACCAACAAAATCTTATTTTAGCTTGTTTTGAGACGTTTCATAGAATAATTCAATTTAATTAGCTCAATATTTTAATTTTAATAAAATAATTTTTTGACATCTAGATAACATACGAACTGCCATGCAACATACGTCCTCAACTAAGACGCCTACTTGATAGAAAGTCTTTTTGATCGCACTGTAGTTGGCTGGTGATTTTGAGCCTKTACAGTATGATGAAAAAAAGGCGCCCGTGTTAACCTACACGTTATAAGTGATCTWTTATTAAAGACGAATTCGAAGACCAAAATTGGATTTGTGCTCTTATCAGTCAGATATAGACTTTCCTTTTTAGAAAAGACAAATCTAAATAATTAACAGTTTTAAAATAATTTRATTGTTAAAGTCTAGATTTTGATACAGTTGACGGTGTTCTTAACAAATGTGTAAAAAGTCTATTGAAGTAAACTTTATTGAACATYTTAGGATACCATTTCTTGGCTCTATTTAATCTATTTAGACCATTTTTGAAATAAATGATGGTCACAATGTTTCAATAAAAAAGGACGCGCCTGTTTCAATCGTGGGCGTCTTTTTTCCACCATAATAACTGTTTGACGCATTTTTTCAAAATGTGCAAAACATACCTACTTACTTACTTGATTTTTCAAAACTAAAATTATGTTAAAAATTAATTTTTAACCCAGCAGGGCTGAACTCCAAAAAATAAAAACTTAAATCGAGAATTTTTTATCTTTTACAAGACTCGTTTCATCTATACGAAGACACACTGAATATCGCTGGACATCTTGAACTTTAAATTTCAGATGGCATGCAGTCATGATGGAATCCAGTATTTTATGATAAAAAATCCACATGCAGGACTGGTATTAGACGCTAAAGAAAAAATCGTTAAAATTCAGACTGCTACTCGGTCTGCGACACAGTTATGGTCACTAGAATTGGCAGAACCTGGAAAAGTTTACATAGTTAATCGTGCCACCGGGTATAAAACCTAATTTACGCATAAATAATTACTAAAAAACAAGGAAACGATGTTTACAGAAACTTTTTGGATATTATCGGAGGTAAAGCTAAAAATGTAGCTAAAGTTATCACTAACCAGAAACAATGTGGGCCGACTCAGCAATGGTTTATTTATAGTAGTTATAAGAATAACTACATGACCACTATTAGAAGTGCCGCTGGAGATTTTGTTGTTGATGTCTATAATGAGAAAGAACATCAAGGAAATTATATAGTAGTATTTCCTTTTCATGGAAGAAATAATCAACTATTCACTTTGGAACCTGTATAATTTTTTTATAATAATTTTGAGGTATAATCTATTATGCTTAATGTGAAATAAAATTACAAGAGAAACTTTGTTGCTTTTATTTTAATTTTGTGATGTCGAGAAATTCAAATCATGGAATTGTAAATATATAAAAAAATATTAAACTGTTGGCAGAAAAATTTTTGCTTTTCTCTTGGTTTATCTTTTTCCCCGGACAAAAAAATATACCTAAGCTATAGCACAGAACTTGCGCCTCAGAGAAAAATGCCAAGTGAAATAAGACATGTATCAGAACATGGAAAAAAATGTTAAAAAATTCTATCTATAAAGTAAGTCATAAATATGAAACAATAATTGAACTCGGGAACTCTAAAGGAGGATCCTTTTTGGGTTAGTAGTTTTTTTCCTTGTAAAATAAAAAAAAAACAGTTAAAAAAGGCATTATTATCCAAAGTAACAAAGCAATAAAAAAATTTATAATAGGAGAAAAATAATAAATTAAAAAATTACACATGCTAAACAATATCCTAAAGTATTGATTGTTTCATAATCAAACATAAAATCTTTAATAACTCTGATATAAAAAAAAAGCATAGTAAGTGTTTTTTTTATGTTTGCAAAAAGTATAAAATGTGAAATCCGACCCACTGACTTTATTTGAATTTTGTAGAGAAAAAAATGAATTTTAATTGTGCAGTTCTACTCCTATTTGGTGCCTGTATTATCGCAGCTACAGGCAATGTGGTA